AGCTGGTGGGTTGCCTCATGTACCTGATGACTTGCACTCGTCCAGATCTCGCATACCCTTTCGGCATCCTGGCTCGCTCTGTGGCGACAGGCAGACACCGACCACAGCATTGGTCGGCCGCTAAGAGGGTTTTGCGTTATCTAGCAAGTACATCGGGCATGGGGCTAATGATAGGGGGACGCAGGCCAGTGGTCTTGACAGGGCACACAGACGCTTTCGTGGGCCAACGACGCTGATATGCTCAGGTCCACTCAAGGCTACTGTTTTAGCCTTCGTGTAGGCGCTGTCTCGTGGAGGTCCACCTACTCATCGTCTGTTCAGACCCTTGCCTCAGAGGTTGGACTAGTAGTGCCACTTTGAGCTGCATGTCTTTTGCCAAGCACCGCCCCTTGTCTAGCCTAGGGGGTGTGTCAACATATATTTGTATAAATATAGGCTAGATACTGTAGGTGGCATGCTCATAGAGAGTACAACACCATAGCACAAAACCTCCTTGTATGGCACAATCTAGTCTATTGTGTTATTCTGACACTGGGAGTTGGCCTTTATTGGTGCCGCGCCTTTGTCGGCACACTGGAGCTGCGTTTTACAATAAGGAGAGGCAAAGGTGAGTGGATTTATAGTGAATCAGCAAGTGAATGGCCAGGTGGTGAATGTGAGGTTATCAAGGTATAAGTTTAAAGCCCCGAGTCTTAGAATGGTTCGCTATCAGTTCAGGAATCCTGAACTTGTTTTCGTCCAATAGAGGGTAACCTAGTAAATGCCGTTTGAATTTCGCAACTCTCATGGAACAAGGGGAAGCTTGCGAATGCCACTGAAAAGGATAGACCCGCGATTACTGTTCATCTCAGTATTCTTGATTTTTGCCTGCGACCATTCTGAACGCATTTTTGTGGGGGTCTCGCGTCACTGTTTGTTCCCCCCCTTACCCCTCCACACACACTATTCATGCACTGTTGCACTATACAAGCTGGTATAGTATGACTCAGGATACAAGAAGTGGTGGTGCTACTGAGGCTAGACCAAGCTAAGTACAGAACCGCTGATGGTCACGAGGCGCAAGTGCTTGGTGAAGATTCAGCGGTGTTGGACTCTGAGGCCAACTGTACTATACGGACCTGACTGCGCTGCTGCAACTCACGCAGCAGGAAGTACTCTAGTTGGATGTGCTTCGCCCTGCCCTCAAGTCGAGCCTCCTGACACAAGAGGATTAGGCCCTATTGTCGGCAAACGGACCGGGGCAGACCTAGGCTAGACACCTAAGTCAGCGAGTAAGAACGACAGCCAGCGGAGCTCCTGAGCAGCCATGGCCCCAGCGTAGATCTCTGCCTCACAACTGGACTGAGCAACAGACGACGACCTGGTGGACCTCCACGAGACTGCACCAGTACCAAGACCAAAGCAGTAGCCCTGAGACGACCTGAGCGTCTCCAAGTCGTTGGCCCACGACGCGTCTGTGTGTCTAGTGAGCACCACTGGCTCCTGTCCTCCTAGCACAAGCCTCAGTCCTGATGTGCTCGCCAGATACTGCAGTACCCTCTTGGCAGCCGACCAGTGAACTGGTCAGTGCCTGCTTGCCGCGACAAACAAGCTAGGAGACGAGAGGGTACCTAGATCTGGTCAATTGGCAGGTCATCAGGTACATGAGGCACCCCACCAGCTCTGCGTATGGACCACTAGCCTCAACCGGCTCGGCCGGAACAGGAGCAGCGAGCTTGTGACCCACAGTCAGGGGGGTGGGCTGTGCTGAGGAGAACTGGAGACTGGACCTCTTGAGGATCTTCTCCACCATATGGGACTAAGAGAGTGTGATCATGCGAGCTGCGCGGTCACGAGAGATCTCCAAGCCCAGATAGCGCCTCAGCTCCCTCAAGTCTGTATGGGTGTGTCTTCTAAGAAACTCGGCCTTCACTGAGGCCAGTGCGACTCTGCTAAGAGTAGCAAGATAAGATCGTCTACGTACACTAGGATGTAGAATGGTGTGTGACCCGTGCGAAAAAATAAAGAAGGGTCAGCAGAGGACGAAAAGAACTGCAGCTCAGTAAGAGTGGTGCAAAGCGTGTCGTGCCACTCACGGGGTGCCTGACGATGGCCATAGACAGGACGGCGCAAGCTCCACTCGCTCCCAGGTGGGAAGGACCCAGAGAAGCCTAGAGGGCATCGGAGGTAGATTTGCTCGTGTAGACTACCCTGCAGGAACGCTGTGGAGAAGTCGAGTGAGTGAAGCTCGTAGTCATGCTGCGCGGCTTTGTGAAGAAGGACCTGAAGAGTAGTCATCTTTGGGGTCAGGGAGAAGGTATGGAAGAAGTCCACATCCTCAAGTTGACTGAAGCATCTAGCCACGTAACGCGTCTTGAACTTCGGCGACTCTCCAGGTGTGCGCTTCAGCTTGTAGATCCACATGCCATTGACTACGTTCGTCCCAAGCGGGGGAACCGCGTCGACGTAAGTGCCTGTGGATTTGTAGGATGCCATCTCAGCCTCCATGGCCTGTATCCACTAGGTTGCCCAGGGCCCCGACACCGCCTCAGTGTAAGAGCGCGGAACAGGGATGTCGAGAGCGTCTGGGTCGCCCTCTAGGGATACAAGCATGGAGCAAAGATGGGGAACAGCGGCAGCAAGGTAGGCCAGCTCGTACCGCCTGTCCTCTAGCACGTCATTGCAAAGGCAGGTGCACCCCCGACGGAAAGAGGACGGGCACTACCAGAGACTAGAGCGGCAGCGTAGTCAAGGCAGTGGCTAGCGGCGAAGTCATCAACAGCACCGGCAAGCGTAGAGACAGTGACAAGCGACACAAGCAAGCGCGAGAGGGTAGGACGAGCAGCGAGAGCAGAGTCGAAGCGAGGAGGGGGGGAGGACAGGAGCGACGACGGGGGAGGCAATGGGAGGACTGTGACAGGAGGAGCACGTGAACGAAGGACCATAGGGTGGACAATAGGACGAGGAGAGACAAGACGAGCACCAGAGGGGCGACGGATCCAGTGGGGAAAAAACTGGGGACGGGGACGGGGAGGAATGGGGGACAAGTCAGGGGACGGAGGGGAGCGCGAGGGAAAACGAGTTGGAGAGGAGTCATGAGGAGGAAACAACGGGTCGGAAACAGGGTCACGCACCGGAGGGGGAACGGGCGGGCAGGCAGGGGAACTTGGAGCAAGACCAAGGAGTCGAAGGGCAGACTGCGGCCGCTCCTGCTGCGGCGGCTGCGGCAGCTGCTGCGGCTGCTGCTATGGCTGCAACTGCTCGTCCTCTCCAGGACCTCATGCGCCTCCGCGGTTGCCACAGGCACACTGTGAAATAGCACCCCCAGGACTAGTACCCTCAGAGTCAGCAACCACAGATTTCGCACCCCCAGAACCAGCACTCCCAACACCCATTTCACCTACACCAGCACCCCCAACACCAACACCGCCAACACCAACACCCTCAGAACCAGCACCCCATAGCTCACTGCTCCCTGCTGCTGCTGCTGCCGCTGAGTCTGCTGCGGCGACGGCTGCTGCTGCTGAGGCAAGGGAGGAGGCGGCTGAGGTGCCTGGGGTACCGAGGCTGGGTGAGGTGCCGCAGGGACAGCAGGCGCGCCCCCAGCAGCTGGGCCCCCAAAGTCAGCCGACTCCCCCACAGGCGCAATCGAGGGGAAATGAGTAGTGTGGGAGACACCAGACTGGGCGGGGTGGGAGGGGAGCGGCAAGCGGAGCAGGGACAAGTAAGGGAGGAGGAGGAGGGACAGGAGCGCTGCGGTGTGGGAAGCGCCGGTAGTAGGGGAGTTTCTCGTAGCGGCTTCATGGTTCTTTACCATTCTAGACTCAGGTTTTAATGTGGGGGGAACAACTCAGGCTCTGATTAGGACAACCTATGGAGAGGATAATGCAGAGAGTACTGTAGAGATTCAGGGTGAGCCCAAGGTTTCGGTGCTGGTTGAGGGCCAGACCGTTTCAGTCACGTTTACTCATGTACAGAGGACCAGATGACCGTTTTGATATAATAAATAATGTTACACTGTTGTGATTGCAACTTATGCTTTCTTACCTGAAAGCACCCCAATCAATCCCCAAAACTTCAACTCTCTAATCCAACCACATGTGTAAGTAGAAAGTGGTCCAAATCAGTCGAACAGTACCTATGGCTTGCGCCAAGCAGCCGAACTAAAAGCTGTGCAATGTTGGCATTTCCAACAAAACGCATCAGACCTGCCCTCACTGTAGCTGTCACTATTCTCCATGCTGGCCAATCCAACACTACTGCTAGGTATACCTTACTGCAGCATCACCATTGTTCTGTCTCAGGCTCTGCATATCACTGAGCATTTTGCTGGCCTCCCTCCCTGGTGTCACTGCTGTGCTGCACCCTGCTTAACCCCTATTGTCACTATGCTACCCCTGAACAGAGTCCTATGCTGCCCTTGAGCAGGGCGGCTGGTGGCTGCGGGCGGCCAGCGGCGACGGGCAGCGGCTGGCGGCAGCGGGCAGCCTGCGGGGACGGGCGGCTGGTGACAGCGGGCGGCTGGCGGTGACAGGCGGCGACAGGCGGCCAGCGGCTACGGGCGGCTGGCGGCAGCGGGCAGCCAGCGGTGACGGGCGGCTGGCGGCGACAAACGTTCAGCGGCGACGGGTGGCCAGCGGCGACGGTCGGGCTGGCGGCGATAGGCGGCCAGCAGCTACATGCGACGGGGGCCAGCGGGCGACGAGCGGCTGGTGGCCAGCGGGCTACGGGCGACGGCCGGTCAGCGGGCTACGGGCGACGGCCGGTCAGCGGGCTACGGGCGACGGGCGGCCAGCGGGCTACGGGCGACGGGCGGCCAGCGGGCTACGAGCGACGGGGGCCAGCGGGCTACGGGCGACGGGCGACTGGGGGCAGCGGGCGACGAGCAGCTGGCGGCTACGACGGTCAGCTAGTAACAGGCGACTGGCGACTGGCGGCGTGGGCTAAGGCTAGGACTAGGGCGGAAGTGCGGGTTGGCGGGATCCTAACCCACTAGCGTGATACCATCTCAGAGTAACAGATTGAATAGAATGAGAGGTACAAGGTAGTTTTGTCCAAGGGGTTGTACTCTCTATAGGACTGCACCAATCTAACATATCAATATATGTTTGACACTGCCCTCACTGAAGCTGTCACTATTCTCCATGCTGGCCAATCCAACACTGCTGCTAGGTACACCTTACTGCAGCATCACCACCATTGTTGTGTCTCAGGCTTTGCTTTGCACATCACTGAGCATTTTGCTTTGCACATCACAGCAGTGTCACTGCTGTGCTGCACCCTGCTTAACCCCTATTGTCACTATGCTGCCCCTCAACAGAGTCCTATGCTGCCCCTGAACAGAGTCCTATGCTGCCCTTGAGCAGAGCGGTCACCAGTACGGTACACACCCTGCCGCCTATGTTGCTATGCTGCCCTTGAAGACTGCTGTTGCCTCGCCAGTACATATCGGCCTCCCTTGTATCACAGCATTCTGCTGATTCCCCTTGAACACTTGTATCACCAGTAGATGTTGGCCTCACTTTTATCACCAGCATTTGTAGCTGATTCCACTGATCCTGGCTATATCGATCAGCTGCTCTTGAGCACTTGTCTCACCAGTAGATGTTGACCTCCTTGCCGTCGTTCATCTCACTCACCAGGTCCTTGGCCTCGCTCAAAGCAACCTGCAAGGCAATGAGTTCACCCAGTGACAAACAAACAGAGGGGAATGGGAGTGGAGGGCAATGAGGGGAATAAATAACCAGAATCATTCATCTCATTCACTAGATCCTTGGCCTCACTCAACGCGACCTGGCCACAACCACAGCAGTGAATTGAGGTGGCGGAAAGAGGGAGCTGGATGACTTGGGACACTTGCAGCAGGAAACGAAAAGAACAAATACCTCAACGGGAAAAGCAAGAGGACAGTCAGTCAAATGGGGAGACATGTGGATGCCTGTTTGAATATCCGAATATATATATTAGGGTTTATATATATATATATATAACAACAAAAAAACCTGTCCGTATTTGGTGTAGTTACTGGAGAGGTTGAGGCCCCATTCGCCCTTACTAGAGGAGCTTTCCCTTGCGTTACATTACAAGGAACCAAAATGCATGTAACACGGCCAACTCACACCTCCTTTCAACTCTACCTGTCCGTATTTGGTGATGTAGCTGCTGGAGAGGTTTAGAGTTTCCATCGCCGCCTCCCCATCTGCCCTTACTAACGTCGCAGTTCTCGCACTCCATGTCACCTAAAGCCCCCCCCAATGCCCCCCAACTCTACCTGGCCATATTTGGTAATGTAGTTGCTGGAGAGGTTGAGGGTCTCCACTGCCGCCTCCCCATTCGCCTTGAGGGCCTCTGCCAGGGCATACGCGCCCTTGTCTCTGATCTCGTTAAAGCCCAGGTCTAGGGAGGAGAGCTGCTCGTTGACAACCCTCAGGCTGAGAGCCAGGATGGCCGCCCCTGTAGGGAGGGGATAGACGAATACACAGAGAGATCGCTTTGAGGGCCTCTGCCAGGGCATACGCGCCCTTGTCCCTGATCTCGTTAACGCCCAGGTCCAGGGAGGAGAGCTGCTCGTTGACAACCCCCAGGCTGAGAGCCAGGATGGCCGCTCCCTGTTACATTGAGAGAGAAGCGGGGGGAGGAGGTGGGGTGAGGGGAGGATGAGGAGGAGAGAAAGAGTGAGTGCACACGTTCCCTTATCCCTGATCTCGTTAAAGCCCACATCCAGGGAGGAGAGCTGTTCGTTCAGCACACACAGGCAGACTTAAAGCCAAAATGGTGAACGAACAGCTCTAATACCTTCACCCAGAGCCAAAACGGACGTAAAGTCAGAACCACAAGGCACAAGAGTGGCTCGGGGTAGATTTCTCACCTCATCCCCCAGGGCGTTGGCCCTCAGATCAAGAGGGTTGATGGTGCTGTTGTATTTGAGCGCGTCTGCTCACATGCACCAGCTTGCCTTACTATACTTGCTTTCCTTGCCTGAAAGTCAGCTCACCTCATCCCCCAGTGCGTTGGCTCTCAGGTCACGCATGTTGATGGTGCTGTTGTAGTACATCTGCTTACATCTGGTGTACCCTCAAGCTTGACTTGAATGCATCTACTCAAACGCACCAGTGTGCCTTTCTGTACTATTGAGGTGAAAGGCAGCTCACCTCATCCCCCAAGGCGTTGGCCCTGAGATCGAGCGTGTTGATGGTGTTGTTGTACTTGAGTGCGTCTGCCATGTACTCTGCTCCCTTCACTCCGATCTGCGGGGGGTTGAGGCAAGGGGGGAAGAAGGGGGAACGAGGAAGGGGGAGGGGGGGACAACCGGGTGAGTGCGTCGGCCATGTACTTGCTCCCTTCACTCCAATCTGGTTGCAGTAAGAGCCATGGGTGGGCAGGTGGGAGGGGGGGAGTGTGGAAGTGGGGAGGGAAGGGGGGAGGGAAGGGGGAGGGAAGGGGGGCGTGGTGTTGCATGAGAGGGGTGGTATGTGCCAAGAGATTTGAGAGGGCTGACAGTCAGAGGTGACTTTTGAGTCGACTGAAAAGTCACTTTTGAGTCGAGAGGGCTGACAGTCAGCGCGTCAAGTGATTTCTGAGTCAATTCAAAAATCACCTACAACGCGTCCACATTGCCGTGAGGAGTTTATTTTTTAGGCGCCTTAAAAATAAATTTCCTACAGCGGGTCCACATTGTCGTGGGTATTTTGATGACATTGCCATGGACTGTTATGCGAGAGTTATGAACCCAGCCGTCTCACCTTAAGGTGTGCCTTAACAGCAGCAACAACTCTTAATGTGCCTAAAGAACCAAGTTTTGAGGCGCCTCAAAACTCAAATCTTAATGTGCCTAAAGAACCAAGTTGTGAGGCGCCTCAAAGCTCAACTCTTAATGTGCCTAAAGAACCGTGTGCCGTGACAGTGGCAGCACCCTGCTGCACAGTCAACCTTAACCTCACTATGTGAGGTGACTTTTGAGTCGACCCAAAAGGCACTGCCAAACTCAACCTCACTATGCGCTCAGTCAGCCACTCACCCACCCCAGAAGCCAAACACCCTTTCCCCACCCTCCTTGCACTACCCCAGCGGCTCAGGCTCAGCAACTCAACATTGCCATGGAAGAAATTGATTATGTCTGCCCGTGACTTCACCGTACATTGTGCACAGTCACAGCCCCTCACTCACACCCCCCCCGTTTCCCCTCTCCTCACCTTGCACCACCCCTCACCGTGCACCACCCCTCACCTTGCACCACCCCTCACCGTGCACCACCCCTCACCGTGCACCACCCCTCACCGTGCACCACCCCTCACCGTGCACCACCCCTCACCTTGCACCATCCCAGCCTCAGAGTTTCAACGTTGCCGTGGAACTTGACTGTATCCGCCAGAGCCTTGGCGCCGTCTGGCCCAATCGGGTTGTACCCCAGCTCCAGCTGTGGCACATTTGGGGCGTGAGAAAGACCAGGAGGGGGGGAGTGATGAGAGGGGCGACCTTTCCATCAGGGGGGTGATGAGAGGAGCATCATGCGGCCCAAAGCAGTGAGGGGGAGGGGGAGGGGCTGGGGGAGGGGCAGGGGCAGGGGGAGGGGAGAGGGAGGAGGAGGGGAGAGGGAGAGAGAGGGAGAGGGGCTGGGGGAGGAAGAAGGAGAGGGAGAGAGAGAGGGAGAGGGACAAACGGAGGGGGAGGGAGAGGGAGAGGGAGAGGGGGAGAGAGAGGAAGAGGGGGAGGGAGAGGGAGAGGGAGAGGGGGAGGGAGAGGGAGAGGGAGAGGGGGAGGGAGAGGGAGAGGGGGAGGGAGAGGGAGAGGGGGAGGGAGAGGGAGAGGGGGAGAGAGAGGAAGAGGGGGAGGGAGAGGGGGAGGGAGAGGGAGAGGGGAGGGAGAGGGAGAGGGAGAGGGGGAGGGAGAGGGAGAGGGGGAGGGAGAGGGAGAGGGGAGGGAGAGGGAGAGGGGGAGAGAGAGGGAGGGGGAGGGAGAGGGAGAGGCGGAGGGAGAGGGAGAGGGGAGGGAGAGGGAGAGGGGGAGGGAGAGGGGGAGGGGGAGAGAGAGGGAGAGGGGGGGGAGAGGAAGAGGGGAGGGAGAGGGAGAGGGGAGGGAGAGGGAGAGGGGGAGAGAGTGGGAGAGGGAGAGGGAGAGGGAGAGGGGAGGGAGAGGGAGAGGGGGGGAGAGGGAGAAGGGGAGGGAGAGGGAGAGGGAGAGGGAGAGAGGGAGGCAGATTCAAGAGGCCTACTCACAGTGGTGATGGTGGAGTTCTCTATGAGCGCATCGCAGATGACTTGTGAGTCGAGTCGACTCAGGAGTCACCTTGTGAGTCGACTCAGGAGTCACCTTGTGAGTCGAATCGACTCAGGAGCCCTACTCACAGTGGTGATGGTGGAGTTCTCTTTGAGCGCATCGCAGATGGCAGCAATGCCCTCTGCATGGATGTTGTTGCCGCCCTGAAGGGAAAAGAGGGGGGTGGGGGGGGAGGGGGCGGGCGGGATGCAGGTAGGGAACGCGGAACGAGGAAAGGGATATGAGATGTGTGAAGTTGGCTGAAATGCCCTCCGCAAAGCAGGGGAGAAAGTGGATGTGGAGGGGAGGATTGTAAAGAAGACAGACAAACAGATGTCGAGGCGTCTTCAGAAGTCCGCCCCCCCAAACCCCAAACTTCCGACCATCTCACCAACTCACCTCGTTCTCTCTTTAATCCGCCTCAAAAGCATACCCCGCCCCCCTAACCCCAGGCCTCAAAGGTCTCCTTCTCTTTCAAGCCAACCCAAGCCGACCAAGGCCAACCCAAGCCGACCCAGGCCAACCCAAGCCAACCCAGGCCAACCCAAGCCGACCCAGGCCAACCCAAGCCGACCCAGGCCAACCCAAGCCGACCCAGGCCAGCCCAAGCCGACCCAGGCCAACCCAAGCCGACCCAGGCCAACCCAAGCCGACCCAGGCCAGCCCAAGCCGACCCAGGCCAACCCAAGCCGACCCAGGCCAACCCAGGCCAACCCAAGCCGACCCAGCCCAACCCAGGCCAACCCAGGCCAACCCAGGCTTAAACTTTCTCAGGCCACGCACTCACCAGGTCAATAGTGGCAATGGACTTGTTTCGCTTGAGGGCATCGGCTATTCTCTCAGCGCCCTGCAGGCATGGAATGGAACACAGTGCACGGGGCAAAGAGGATGGGTGCCATCAGTGAAATAAGTTCGTTCGTGCTCTGAGGCTGTCTCACTTAAAACCCACAAAATCCTTCAATGGCAATGGATTTGCTTCGCAAGACACTGGAGGGAAAAAAAAAAAAAAAAAAAAAAAAAAAAAAAAACGCTTGGGAGCATCTGCTAGTCTCGTCGCTCCTTGCAGCAGAACAACAGGGGTGGTAGAAGGGAGAATTTGGATTTTTATGGGCGCATCAGCCTGGAAAAATGACCCCACAAACCAAAAACGAAGTCTCCAAAGCTTGAGGTGCTTAATCCCCCACACTACAGACCTTGTCCCCAAAGTCGTTCATGTAGAGGTTGAGCCACTGCAGACTGCGGCTCTTCTTGATCACTTCAGCAATGTGGGCCGCGCCCTTTGACCCCATGCTGTTGTTGCTGAGGTCGATGGTGACCAGCTTGCCCTTGTGGGCCAGCAGGCCTGACGCCAGCACTCGCGCTCCCTCGTCCCCCACCCCATTGCCGTTGAAATGCAGCTCCTGGGGGGGGAGGGAAGGGAGGGAGGGAGGGAGGGACGGAAGGACGGACAGAGGGAGGGAGGAGAAGGGGAGTGGAATGAGAGAAGGGGGGGCGGAGGGGAGTGGAGCGGCAGGCGGATGGACGGCGTGAATTTTCCTAGAAGACCCAATACTCCCACCCTGAGTGCCTTGTGTTACTGAAGCCCCTTGGCCAAGCCAGAGGCGCCTAGAAGACAATCTCCAGTCCTGTTAATCAAGTCCCCACAGACTCGCTTGATCGAACTGGTGGCACACCATGTATACACGGTGAGAGACCGTGTATCAGGCGAGACCGATGGACCCATACTTTTCAGGGTTAACCATGGAGGAAAAAGCCTTGCTAGGCAGCGGTAGTCGACTCAAAACACACCATGTATACACGGTGAGAGACCGTGTATCAGGAACTACCCAATATAGACTCACCCTGAGAGACTTGTTTTCCTGAAGGCCCTTGGCCAGGGCAGAAGCGCCAAGCGTCCCTGCATAGTTGCCACTGGGAATTGGCGAGAAGGGGAAAGCGAGAAGGGAGAAGAGAGACGGGAGAAGGGAGAACGGGAGAAGAGAGAACAGGCTTTGGTGCTAATCACTCACACACACTCACACTCTCTCTCTCTCTCTCTCTCTCTCTCTCTCTCTCTCTCTCTCTCTCACACACACACACACACACACACACACACACAAGGACTCCCATGCCCCACACACACACAGACTCACTTGAGGTGCAGCGATCGAAGGCTCTTGGTGCTGGCAAGAGCATCAGCAAGAGCAGCACAGCCCTGGATTTGAAGGGGAGAAAAAGGGGGGCCGGGGTTGACGGGGGGGGGAAGGGGAGGGGGGGGAATGAGAAAGGGGGAAAGGGAGGGTGAGCTGGTTGGGAGAGAGTTGGTTTGGGGGAGTGTCTACCAGCACCCCCCTACCTCGTACTGGATGCCGTTGTTGTTCATCTCGAGGCACACCATCGCCTCGTTCTTCTTCAGCATGTCTACTCGTTCTTCTTCAGCATGTCTACTCGTTCTTCTTCAGCATGTCTACTCGTTCTGCTTCGTCTGCATGCACCCCCTCGAGGCGCATGCCCTCGTCACTCATCCCGTTGCTTCTCGGCCGCAGCGTCTGCACCCTTTGAAGGCTACGCTGGTCCATACCTGAAACTGCATTCAGGTGTATTTTGAGGTTTCAGCATTCAGGTGTATTTTGAGGTTTCAGCATTCAGGTGTATTTTGAGGTTTCAGCATTCAGGTGTATTTTGAGGTTTCAGCATTCAGGTGTATTTTGAGGTTTCAGCATTCAGGTGTATTTTGAGGTTTCAGCATTCAGGTGTGTATTCAAGTACCTCGTCTCGTACTCGTCTCCTACCTCAAAATACTACGCTGGACCACACCTGAAACTGCATTCCCCCCTGCCTACCTCGTACTCGATGCCGTTGTTGTTCATCTCGAGGCAAACTACCGCCTCGTTCTCCTCAGCATGTCAGCCAGCGCCTCCTGTCACCCATCCCCCTCGAACGCCTGTACCCAGTCTGCCACCCCTAGCAGTCTCATCCGTACCTTGTACTCGATCCTGCTGTTGTTCATCTCGAGGCACACCACCGCCTCGTTCTCCTCAGCATGTCAGCCAGCTACCGTGTTCCCAGAACCAGGCCGCACCTGAGACTCTATGCACTCTAGACGCAGCCTACATCCCCCCCCCCTCCAACCACCCCCCGTACCTACCTCGTACTCAATGCCGTTGTTGTTCATCTCGAGGCACACCATCGCCTCGTTCTTCTTGAGCATGTCAGCCAGCGCGCGCATGCCCTCGTCTCCGATGCCGTTGCTGCTCAGCTGCAGCGTCTGCACCCCGCGGTTCTGCTCCATGATGCCCGCCAACACCTTGGCGCCCTCGTCGCCAATCATGTTGCCGGACAGGTTGAGAGTCTTCAGGTACGCGTTGGTTGCTAGGGCTTCAGTGAGGGCCTTCACCCCCTCTGGGCCGATTCCGTTGTTGGAGAAGTCAACACTCTCCACGCTCTGTGAGGGGCAGGGGGCAGGGGGCAGGGGGCGGGGGGCAGGGGGCAGGGGGCAGGGGACAGGGGGCAGGGGGCAAGGGGCAGGGGGCGGGGGGCGGGGGCAGAGGGCAGGGGGCAGGGGCAGGGGGCAGGGGCAGGGGCAGGGGGCAGGGGGCAGGGGGCAGGGGGCATGGGGAAGGGGGCAGGTGGGGGGGGGTAGCGATGGGAAGATGGAGGGGAAGGGGGGAACTACGGCCTCAGTGCGGGCTTTCACCCCCTCGGGGCCGATACCGTTGTTGGTCTTTTACGCTCTGAGAGATGGGGGGATGGGGCAGGGAGCGGAGGGGAAGAATCTATTTTTGAGGCGCCTCAAAAATAGACTCCTCATGGGCCGATACCGTTGTTGGCCTTTCCCCCTCTGAGAGATGGGGGGATGGGGCAGGGAGCGGAGGGGAAGAAGAGCAAGGCAGCATCTGCACCCCGCGGTTCTGCTCCATAATGCCCGCCAGCACCTTGGCGCCCTCGTCCCCAATCATGTTGCCAGAGAGGTTTAGGGTTTCCAGGTACACGTCGATAGCTAGGGCATCAGTGAGAGCCTTTGCACCTTCGAAGACGACACGGTTGTTGGAGAATTCGACCCTCTCCACGCTCTGTTTGGGGGTTCAGCGGCGGGAAAGGGGATGGGGTGGACTGTGGAGGGGTGGTAGATGAGGAGGGCAAGGGTGTAAAGGCGTCTGCACTGCACCCCGTCATGCCGCTGCAAAGGTCCATGAATGCGCGAACGTATAGACGCATTCACGCCCGCCACGCCGCTTCAATGCGCTGCTCTGCTCCTCCTTCAACCTCTCTGGTCCGACCCCGGACGAGGAGGACACTTGTCAGAGGGAAAATTTAGAGACCACGGACCACTTTCTGGTCTCTCAGGTTGCATAAATACACGGACCACTTGAGAGGGCACTATAAATTGTGAAAATGTTTCTCTACAGTCTCCTCTTTTCCCCTTGTGGAAGTTGCAGAGTAAAGGTTGAAGGGTGATATTCAGTTTAGGTTTCCTACAGAATATGGGGCTATGCGAGCATACTATAACGGGGATGTTGGAAGCTCACATTGTTGAATGCGAGAGATTCCGCCAAATACTTGAAACCCTCGTCGCCGAGACTCTTGCCTGCAGGAATGGGAGACGGGGGAAGGGGTGGGAGAGGGTGGGGGGGGTTGGGGGGGGGGAGGGGGGGGAGTCACAAGGCGTGATAAGAAAACAAAGCAAAAGAATCATATTCCGCCAACGTTACGCGCGAACGTGCAGGTTCGGTGGACTGCTGAGACATCAACAGAACACAGCAGCAATAGGTTCAATGACCCGCAAACGAAAAGCTGAGATCAACGGTCCTGAAACGTACCGCTAAGATCGACGGTCTTGAATGACCGCAGCTGCTGCGCCAGCTCCCTCACTTTCGCCATCGACTGCTGCCGCCACTTCTTCTGCTTCTCCTTGTCGTCACCCGCGCTAGACGACGAATCCCGCCGCCCGCCGCTACCCTCCCCTTCCTCGTCACTATCCGCGCTACTGCCGATCCCGCCGCGCGCTAAGAACCGCGAAACTCCCCAGATTCCCGCGCCGACAGCCAATAGCATCGCTCCGATGCCTATTAACTCCGTGTCGACTTCCACCCCCCCGTTAGAAGCACCTCCGCTTCGCCCGCCGCGTCGCCCTCCTGAAGCCTCTTGCACGGAGGAGGAGTACTGCCGCGACCGCCGCGCCGCGGACCGGCGGGTAGACGACGACGCGCCGCTTCCGCTGCCGTCGCCGTCACCGGACGCTCTAACGGTCAGATTTGATGCGCCAGGGGATGCGGATCGGAGGCTCCGGGATGGGACACGTGGCAGCTTGAGAGGCGAACAGAGAGGAGAAGGGGGGGTCCATGGGGAGGTAGGGCAGATGGGGAGGGGAGTGTGGGGGACGGCGCGTAGGAGACGGGTGGTACGGTGGAGTGTGGTGGGGTGCGGTGCTACCGTTAGTGACTGCATTGCGATGCCTGATGCTGGGTGAAGCGCGAAAAGAAGAATGGGTATTTATCGGCGAGTTAACCGTCAGGCGGCTGTGATTCGACGGCTAAGAACTCTCGAACACTTCTTAACGAATGTGATTTAATCGCCTCGTGGCTGATGCCTGCTGATGCAGACTGACACGATAAGTTTCCCGACCGCTGAACAAATAAATCCCGCACGAATCGGATTCGTCAGCACTGACAACTAAGCGACCAGAATCAGGACCAGAATTCTGGAACCAGGCATAGTCAATATAGTGTCCGTCAATGGACAAACGGATCTCTCTGAGGCCTTGGGAATACCCGTGGGGAGATGGGCATGGATCAGCAGGCAATTGACAAAACGCTGGAATTTACCCATATCTGATTTGTGAGTAGTCTGACATGAAGTGCTTATATTATTGGAGAGACCGGCAATTTTGTGATTCTAACGGGTCATAGAGGTGTGCTTTCCCTGAATCCAACAGCCTTCTGTGATGAGCTGTAACTCGATTACTCGCCTAGAAAATCTGGCGTGGAGCTGCGCTGTCGTGGATAATGCTGCTCGCTGATTCGCTGCATTCACATCATGCGTTGAACCAGCTCCAATTCAAGCTACAAGTATAATCAGAACTGTCTTCCACCTATCTCATACATAACGCAAACACTAAATCACACCACGTGTGGAGTAGCCAAATATTTAATGAAGAAAAAAAAAGCAGAGAGACTTCTGTACAAGCATTGCTACAATAGCTCAGAAGTCTACTTTCTTAGATGACCATCTCGTCAATAGCACATGAGTGAATGTGACTGAAAGGAAACTCTGGCCCTCAACCAAAACTAATACCTCGGGTAAGCCTTGAATATCTACACTTCTCTCCGCATTATCCTCTCCATAAGTTGTCCTTCTAATCAGAGCTTGCGTGTTCCCCCCCACGTTCAGCTTGAGCCTTGATAGTCCCACAATCACCTTCCTATCCTTTACCCGCTGATTCACTATAAACACGCTTACTGATCGCCTTCCCCTGCTGTAGAACGCTGCTACAGTATGCCGACATTTGCGCGGCACCCATAAAGGCAAACTCCCTTGGCTCGCCAAATCTGTAAACTGTTTAAACATCCAGAACCGCTTAAGTTTCGTGGGGGGGTCAGTTGGACCTGTGTACCCTGGCGGATAAGACCAATTAAGCCCAAACATCGACCATGCTTCATTCGGGTCGAAGACTTGCCAGTAGACGTATGCCGACGCCTCCAGAATATTCACCGATTCAATCACGTTCCGCATCATGTAGAGCGAGAGATCGTAGCTGCTCCCAAGTTTGTTCAACGGTCCAGATTCGGACACCCAAATGCTCTTCCCGAGCGCCTTCGCAAGAACCTTCATCCTGGTGTAACGAGCGGCGTAGATTTTCTCAGCTGCAGAAGCACTCCTATTCCTGGGCATTTCTAGTGGCAATGTGTAACCGTGGACGTTTATCCGGTGAAGGTAGTCTTTCCCAAGAAGTAGTGGTAACCAGAGAGCTGTGAAACCAGCGAAACTGTCTACACCCACCAGCTTCGTCTTGAGCTTTCTTTTAAGCAGAATCCGCTGGGCTTTGAGAATGATCCGGGTCATCTCGGTCACGTTGAAATTACATCCCTCCTGCCCCTGCCCCTTCAGCCAGTTACCCTCCAACGCCTCGTTGAACAGCTCCAGTGTATCAAACTCGATATTCCCCAACGCCGGATCCGTTTTAAACCTCTCCACCACTTTCACCAAATACCACGCAAACCTCCCCTCATAGCCACTCTTCAAATTAGTCTGAAACTTCTCCGACCCTCCCGCAACGTCTTTGCTAACGGTCATCCACCAGGGGGGGCTGTTAGAAAACGCCTCGAACACATTCGCCCCTCGGGCCTTGGCTCCCAGCAGCACTGCCTGCTGCCTTGAGTCTGCCGTCCAATTGAATTGCCCAGTGTGTGAAGGCCAGTACCCTGGCATGCCTCGCCATCTAAGCAGGGCGTCTGTGTGTAGCTGAGGGCTGTACTGCGGGAGGGAGCCGGCACCTATATTGAAGCGCACTATATTGAGGCCGAGCCCCGAGGGGAGGAACATGAGGTCCAGCAGAGGGTCCATCGCCGCCTTGGGGAACCCGCCTATGTAGTTGCCCAGCCTGGGGGGGGGGGGGGGGGGGGGGGGGGAGGAAGAGGAGGGGGGGGAAGAGGGGGTACGGGGGTGGGGGGAGTGGGTACGGGGATGGAGGGTAAGGGGGACTGTTGAAGGGGAGATATGGGGAATAGGAACCGGCCCATGTAGCTGCCCAGCCTGTTGGGGGAGGGGGGAAGGAGGGCGGGGCAGGGGGGAATGGGTAGAATGGGATATGAGGGGAATGAGGCTGCACAGGGTCCAGTGCTGCCTTGGGGAACCCGCCTATGAAACTGCCCATACTGGAGGGGCTGGGAGGGGTGGAAGGGGGTGGGATGGGGTGGGGAAGAGGGGGGATAAGTGGGGGTGGGAATCAGGGTTATCTGGAGCCGTGTCACAGCATCCCCTGCTATTAACTTACCAGTTAATCACCAGCCCATACAATCACACCATTCCATACAATCACATCATCTCATTACAACCGTGATCTATGAAAAAGAGGTTCCCCATCCAATCCACATGATTCTCCATCCGACGGCAATCATCTCACCATGCGAGTGAGGTGCCCCATCCCTTCCACGGGATACGCCATCGGATTACATATACACCAGCTTATCTGAACCGTGTCTCACCATGCGAGCGAGGTGCCCCATCCCTTCCACGTGGTTCCGATTCGTCTTGGAGTGATCGTCACTCGGAACCGCCCCTTACTACCACTCGAGCACACTCCGAACCGCTCCCACGCCGGCTCGAGCGTCGGCGCTGGCGGCCTGTTAATGCCCGCCGATGCTGAATACGCGGAATGTGACGCATTAGAAACACCCACAGAATCATCTCCTGTGGCGGGATAGCGCGTTATACTATTACGTCCAGGTGACCTGAAATCTGGTCCATGTGGAATGGCCTCAGGCGTTTGCTTGCCTACAGGCTGTACAGGTAGTCCAGTATCCAGGGCGTTTGCTTCCCTGGAGGGGCGAAGCAGTGGGTGTCTAAACGTTAAGACATCGTCGATGAACGAAGATTCTTCAGCGAGTGCAGCTGAAGCACCTATCAAGAGCAGAATCAGGAGGTAATTGAGAATCGGTTTGATCAGTACTAAACGCGGAAATGCTACTGCTCTTGGGCTCCAGGACACTGAACGAGTGTTGAGGCGCCTAAAAGCCATAAGTAATAGGTTTATGAGAAAAGCCATGAGCTGTAAACGCGGGCACGTTGCTACTCGTCGACTCCTGAGCACTGGACGAGAGTAGTGCAAATACGGGAGGCCTTTGTCAGCGCCGCGTTGACAAAAAGAAAGGAGAAAAAAGCAACGCTTCGCTGAGGATTGTGGGGAGAATTGCGGACGGTACGACGTGAGCGGGTTGGGCCTAACTTGCCAAGTCAGCAGCAACGCCGTCGACCGAGCTGTACGAGGTGAATGGTAGTAGCGGTCGGATCGAATCAGGCTGGCAGGCGAGTAAGAGCTATGCGATAATCGCGAGCTGCGAGACTTACAAGATTCGTGTTCCTGGCTAAAGATTAGCGGAAAATGGCCGGAGACTGAGTTGCTCGGTTTGACTCGTGCAGCTACGAATACCTGAAGCCTGCTAGTAAATTATCTTGTCCGACGAACAGGCCTGACTGATTGCCCATACCAGCCTTGTCTTTAGTCCAACGTTGGACAGGAACTTGAATTGTACGGAACATTTCGCTCAGCAAGGAGTTCGCATTCTGAGGGGTTACTCACTTCGTCGATGTCGCTGTCTTGACCTGTGCCAAATGGCCAATGTGCGTGCGAAAGGTTGAATTTCGTCAAGGTCGCTGAATTGACATCCAAACCACCGAGACGCGGTTCGGACGCGCTCCTGGTTTATCTCTTGACTGCACGGAGTGCTCAGCTCCGCCATTTGTTTCCGCGGCGCGGCAATTGGTGAAAAACGCCAGCGTTTGGCAATTGCCAGATTGTTTTGTCCATCAGCCAGGTGTAGGGATGCGAGTTGAGTTTGTGCTATAATTTCTTGTACTATTGATTAGGTGTATACTCATGCACACTAAAGCACATTTCTCACCCAATTCAGTGTAATTTTCTAGCAGGTGTCATCTTTGTTTTTGGTGATGTCTTTGGAAAAGGATGAGCATGAGAGAGGGGGCATGTGCGGCCTTGCCCATTCGAATCGGAACACACGTTCTTTTACTGTTTCTTTGGCATGAGCATTTGCAAATATCAGTTGTTCCAACGGGCCAGCGAAGGTGTAGTAGTACAGGTAGCAGAGCAATTGGCGTCCTTGATACAAGCTGACTCACACACACGCACTGCTCCACGTTATTCTAGGTCACGGTATACATCATTTTTGGGCTAGCAAGCACACACTACACTCTCCTAACCCTCATTATCACTCCTAGCTCGAGTAGTCATCGCTAGGGGGGTCCCGGCACTTGCCCCACTGGCATTTCCTCGAGAAGCACGTGCCGCTGGGCTTGATGGTCATGTTAGCGGTGAACAGCTGGCAGCTCAGACCTGAAAAGGTGTAGTAGAGGCAGCTGGCGTCCGCGATACAAGATGACTCGCACTGGTCCAGTTTGTTCGTGAAGAAGAGGTTTCCGTCCATTATTAGCAGCTGCTGCTTCTTGTGCACCTCGCACATGACTGCAAAGTACGATTGGGAAACAGAAAGGGGAATAAAGCGTGGGTCGCTGAGGCATGGTGTCTTTCGAGTCTTGATTTTTGAGGCGCCTCAAAAGTCGAGTCGACTCAGACATCACTTTGGTCCATTATTACTAGCTGCTGCTTCTTGTGCACCTCGCACGTGACTGCAAATTGCAAATTCCAGTTGGGAAACAGAAGGGGGGATAACGCGTGGGTCAATGAGTCTTGGGTAAGCAGAAACAGCACGGAGTGCAAGAGGACACTGTGCATGTCTCAAATGGCTGAGATGCATCTTATAACGGGGACCGAGTAGAAGGTTATAACAGGGATGAGAGACTTACTAGTAGGAGGGGCGGGAGGCGGGGAAGGGGGCGTCGTGGGCTTCTTCGGGCTCTTGGGTTTCTTGGCAGGGGAGGGCGACGGGCTCTTAGGGCTCTTGGGCTTCTTGGGGCTCTTGGGACTTTTAGTCACGTTCGTCTCAGCCGGCTTGGGCGGGGACTTTGGCTTGCTGGGACTCTTGCTCGGGCTCTTAGCGGGGCTTTTGCTAGGACTCTTAGTAGTAGTCTTGCTAGGGCTTTTGCTAGGGCTCTTACTAGGAGACTTGCTAGGGCTTTTATTCGGGCTCTTTTGCGTCGACCCTGCCTGGACCTTGGGCGGGCTTTTGGCTTTTGACGGGCTAGCTGTTGCCGTCGCGTTTTTCTTCTTCTTCTTAGGGACTGCGGGGGACGGCGATGGGGTCGCCTGTGTGGTGGTTTTCTTTAGTTGCCGCCTCAGGAGGGCGAATTCGCCGCCGTAGTGCTGCCAGACTGCGTCTGATGGGGATAGATGAAGAAAGAGAAGGAAAGAGAAGGAATTGGCTAGGAAGGGCCAACACCTTGATTTGAAAGGTAATGATCTAAGGTCGAGCACGACAGTGAGGCCGAGTATGGGCATCGAGGGATTCTAGGTCAGCTGGATTCCTAAGAGGCGTACCGTCGTCGGACGCGAACGGCCGGATTGCTGTGTCCTCTAATCGTGCGGCTGGGATTGACGCGAGAAGCAGCAGCGGTAGGCTCCAGAGGAGCAGATGAAACGGCCGAGCCATGGGAGCCGCGCCGATGCGTACTTTGCGACGGTGAGCAGGTGCGACCAGGCGAACAAACTGCGGTACGTCGCTACGTACTTCGCGATTATGTAACTGGACTCGGGAGTACTTGACGATGTTCTATTATGCGTTGATGAGAGTAGAGTCGATCACAGGAGTGTAGCGTCTATGGGCTACGTTTAGTTCTACACTATGTGTGAAGAGCGTAGTGAGAGCGTTGTGCTAAACTGCGACCTGTGCGAGCTGAAGCGTAAAAACGCTACGTGAGCGATCACTTGGTGGTTTTATGACTCGGAATCTGCGCGATCCCCTCGTCTAGCTACTACTAGAGCCGATGCCTCGGGTATGCCAGCGGCATCCCCTACGCACTAGTGCTCGTATAATATTCAATGCGAGGTGAGAGAGCATCACGCTTATGGAATGGCGTGCGCTGACCATTCGCCTCGCTGCGCGGTTTGACAAGGTTCCAGGTTGCTTTCTGCAGCACCGTCACGACCCCCGGCAACCGACAACGACGGCAGCGGCCAGCGTCGGCTGCGACACTTGCGGAGGCACAAGCGTGGGTCCAGTAAGGCGGGTTTGCTTGTGGTGGCTAGTGTGGTGAAATTTCATGTGCGGAGGCAAGGCAGAAATTCGTGAGCCCATTTCTTTCGGAAACCGTGCTTCCGCTTCGAGACCGGAAGAGCGGAGGAGAAGTCGCATTTGCGGGGTGTTTTCGGGCGGATAAATGTCGCAAATTGGGGGCCGACATCACGAGACGCGTTTGAGCAAATCGAGGCGCGGAGAAATTGGAAGAGGTTGGTGAGGGCCGGACGTGGCACGTACCCCAATGGGGAAGGTCGGGCAGCCGTCGATCTGACCATCGATGTTCGTCGCTTGGGTGAGAGGGCGTATATTTCGCGGGGAAACCAAAACTCATTTTCCCCCTCTACTTTGGAAACGGCTGATAGCGTTGACTGTATCTTGGCAATGAAAAATCCTGGCAGAAATAAGATGTATTAGTGTGTGGAAAACAAGCAGCAACTTACTATATTCGTCGCTCACAAATTACGCCATGCTCATGAGATGCATTATTATATTTCCTTAACAACTCAACTGTACATTCAACCTTACAGCAGCTCCTTGATGCACTTTGAGAGCTCCATGTAAACCCCTTTCCTCCTTTCCCCCCTACAGTCAGTCTGCACTATTCTGTCAAGAGCTGTTAGCAGGCTAAGCAAGTTACACCTCAAAGCGATTCCACTCCTGCTCTTAGCGCTTCCCCATGTGCGGTTTCCTGCTGAGGCGGTTCCCCCCCCTTCTAGAACACTGTTCTGCTGATTCTGGGCTAGCCATACCCGCCCTTGCTCTCTCAAAAGAGAGCACAGTCCAGCAGGGTCCTTCAACGCCCATGCCCTCAGCACAGTGCATGGCAGCCTGCCAAAGCGGTCAGCAGGAAGGGAGAGGAGTGTGGAGAGGAGGGCGGGGGATGGGCTTGCTTGCAGCAGGAGCATCTCCAGCCCTGCGAGTGCCTCACAACTTGGACCTTCCCATGTGCTGTGCCTGGCAGCAGAGGCAGCAGGCTTGTTACTGGGAGTGCTGCTGTCATCAACATTCCCACCACCCAGGGCAGTGATGTCACCAGCAGAAGGGTTGCTGCTGGCAGAAGCAGCAGCAGCAGCAGCACTAGCTTGTAGCAGAAGTAGCGGAAGATTCTGCACATCCTCCTCCTGTTCCTGTTCCTGCTCCTGCTGCTTCTCCTCTTTTTTCGAATGGCCCTCCTTTTCGTCTCCCACATGCCCTTTGCTAGGGAACCCCCAACCAGCAGCCTCAGCAGCTGCTAGTTGCCACAACCACTGCTGCTCCGGTCCGTCCCACGACCAACTGTCTCCAACCAACGACACCCACAACTGCTGCTGCTGCTGCTGCCGCCACCACCCCCGCTCATCCTGTTGATTCTGCTGCTGGTTTCCTTCCATCGGCTCCTTACTCGTCCCAAGTCCAGAGATCTCAGTCTTCCTCCGCACAGAGGAGGGCCTGATCTTGAATACAGAGAGCTCTCCCAAGAGAAGTGCAGACTGCAGAGAAGCAATGGTAGGCGGATCAGCGGCAGAGAGCAGCAGATGCAGCAAGGGAGGGTAGCCGGACGTGGCAAGGGGCAGCAGGCGCAGGGCCTGGAGGGTGACACGTAGGAAGAGAAGGTTGGAGCCGTCCAGTAGGATCCACCGCTGCAAGTCCATGTGGACTGCTGATGTCAGCAGATGGCGGTGACTGTTATGACGGTGATGATGTAGGGAGTGTGGGTGCGACGCAGCAAGGGGAAGCAACAAGCCATTGCACCTTTGTGAGACCTTGTCTGCTCCTGCCCCTGCCCCTGCCGCTCCTCCTGCTCCTACTGCTCCTCCTGCTTCTGGAGTCTCTCTGCCGACATCAATGTCTCCTTTCCCTACCGAACCGCCCATCACCAAACCGCCCTTACCCCCATCCCGCCCATCGTCTCTCCCCCCATCTCCCCTCCCATCTCTTTCCTCCCCTCTCCCTTCGCCCCTCCCCTCCTCCCTCTCCTCATCCCTCCCCTCTCCTCTCCCCTCATCCCTCCCCTCCCCTCTCCCCTCACCCCTCCCCTCGCCCCTCTCGTCATCCCTTTCCCAGCACAGCACAGCCAGCCGCTCATACAAACCAAACACCACCTCTGCTTCCGCCCCCCCGCCTCCATCCCCAGAGCCCGCGTCTTTCCCCCCACCCTCCTCTCTACCGTCCCCCCCTCTAGTCTCGCCAGGGGACTCAGCATTCTGGGTATCTCTGCTTGAAGGCGCATCAGCGGAAGCAGCGCGTTCGGAAGCAGCCTCCGGACCAGATGGAGTACGTTCACCAGCAGCCCCGGCTGCTGCTGCTAGTGCGTCTGCTGCACAGAGCTGCTCTTTCTCTGCTGCTGCTGCGCCCACACAAAGCAACCAAGCAGTAACCGGCTTGCCCATGTCATGCCACGCTATAAGCAGCTCCTCTACTGGCAACAGCGCGTTCAAGTCCCCCCCTCACCATTTCCCTTTCCCTTGTCAGTCCCCTCACCTTCCTGCTCGCCCTCTCCATCTTCCATCCCCTTTTCGCTCCCCTGGCCCTTTTCGCTCCCCTGGCCCTTTTCGCTCCCCTGGCCCTTTTCGCCCCCCTGGCCCTTTTCGCCCCCCTGGCCCTTTTCGCCCCCCTGGCCCTTTTCGCCCCCCTGGCCCTTTTCGCCCCCCTGGCCCTTTTCGCCCCCCTGGCCCTTTTCGCCCCCCTGGCCCTTTTCGCCCCCTGGCCCTTTTCGCCCCCCTGGCCCTTTTCGCCCCCCTGGCCCTTTCGCCCCCCCCTTTTCGCCCCCTGGCCCTTTTCGCCCCCCTGGCCCTTTTCGCCCCCCTGGCCCTTTTCGCCCCCCTGGCCCTTTTCGCCCCCCTGGCCCTTTTCGCCCCCCTGGCCCTTTTCGCCCCCCTGGCCCTTTTCGCCCCCCTGGCCCTTTTCGCCCCCCTGGCCCTTTTCGCTCCCCTGGCCCTTTTCGCCCCCCTGGCCCTTTTCGCCCCCCTGGCCCTTTTCGCCCCCCTGGCCCTTTTCGCCCCCCTGGCCCTTTTCGCCCCCCTGGCCCTTTTCGCCCCCCTGGCCCTTTTCGCCCCCCTGGCCCTTTTCGCCCCCCTGGCCCTTTTCGCCCCCCTGGCCCTTTTCGCCCCCCTGGCCCTTTTCGCCCCCCTGGCCCTTTTCGCCCCCCTGGCCCTTTTCGCCCCCCTGGCCCTTTTCGCCTCCCGAAACGCCCTTTACATCCTCCTCTCCTCTCTGCTCCCTCCCGTGTTCCTCTCCATCCCCCCACCATCCACCCTCCATTCCCGCAGCCGCTCACTCTGCAAGACATACTCGTACAGAACCATCAGCGTCGAGGTCCAGCTTGATAACGCGGCGCCTTCAAACGGGCATGACGTTCCGATCCCCACCTTCACAACAGCTGCACCAGCAGATGCACCGTTCCCAGAAGCACCATTCCCAGAAGCACCGTCCCCCTCAGTACCACCGTCCCTAGGAGTACCTTCTGGAGATCCCAAGGTGGCCGGAGATCGAGGCAGCAGCAGCAGCAGCTGGTCCAACCTACGAGGAGACAGGGAGGCGAAGGGCGGAAATAGAGGAAGCCCTACTTTCGAGAGGCTCTGCGAAACCCTATCGGCAATCAGCGCCCACCCCTTCCTACCAACTCCCCGTGCCCTGAACCCAGGAGACCTAAATTTGCCTGGTCTGACTAAGCGGGCAGCTTCGGAAGCCTTTACTAGATTTGCTGTGAAAGCGGTCGCTAGCCTATCTCCTGCTACTGCAATGTCTAGCGTGCCATTGCCGCTATTCAATCCCTCTGAACTACGGCCTAAAGGGGGCGAATTTGCCGCTGGTGATGCTGCGGGCAGGTGATCCTGTTGATCTACAGGTTCACCTACAGGTTCTGCCGCTGATCCTGTAGGTGAGCCTGTTGCTATGGCTGTTGGTACGCCTGCTGCTTTATCTGGGGGCGCCGCTATGCGTGCTCTCTTCGACCTAACTCCCTTGACTCCCCGCCGGTTGCTGCTGCTGCTGCTGCTGTCGTTCTTGACCACTTCTGCTGCTCCGTCGGCTCCTCCCCCGGCTGCTGTTCCTGCTGCTGCTTCTGCTGCTGCCGCTGCTGCTGCTGCTCCCGCCTCTTTCCTGCCTTCCCCGCATAGATGGTTCCCCTCTATTGCCACGTCCGTTGCTGTCTCCCCCTCTGTAGCCCCTCTTTCTGCAGTCACATCCGAGTCAGCGCTCCTGTCTGATCGATCCTCATCCATCCCCGCCTCTTCTTCATCCTGCTCCTCCTCAACCATGGGTCGCCCCTCTTTCGCCCTTCCCCCATCCCCCCATCCCACCCATCCCCCCACTGCCCCTCTTGCCCTGTTTTCCCCCCTCCTCCCCGGCTTCCTCTTGCCCCTGAGCCTTCCGCTGTGCGTTCACGTGCGCCTGCCTTTCACCGCCCCCCTGCGCCTTCCGCCCCCCACCCTCTCTCCCCGCGTTCTCTCCTCTTAACGCCATCAACAACGCCTTTAGCCCTCTAATGACCTTCGCCCCCTCCCCAGCCTCCACCGCTTCTTCCATACCCTTTACCATACCCTCAATGGCTTTAACTTCCTCGTCTACGCCCTCCCTTTCCTCGCTCTGCTCCTTCTTCTCTTCCTCCTCAACCACCTTCCCCCCTCCACCTCCCCCCCTCCGCCTCCCCCCATCCACCTCCCCCCCTCCACCTCCCCTCGTTCCACCTCCCCTCCCTCCTCTCTTTCCTCAAGCGCCGATCCCTTCCCCCCGTCATCCTCCCCCTCCTCCCTCTTCCTTTTCCTCTTCCGCTCCCCCTTACCAATCTCTCCTCCCGCCACCTCACTATCCCCTCCGCCGCACTCTCCTGGTTCCATACCTTCGCCCTCCGCGGTCTTCCCCCGTTTCCCCACTCCGCCAGAACCTTTTCCGCCAGCCTGGTCTTCCCCTGAAGCGCTAGCTTCCCCCATTTCCACGTCTTCCCCCGTCCTCGCGGCAGCAACCGAGCCATTTAAGCCAACCGCGCCCCCCCCCGCGGCGGCGGCAGCAGAATCGCCCACAGAACCGCTTGCGCCAGCACCCGCGCCTACTCCTCCGATTTCCGCCACCTGCATTTCCCGCCCCCCTAATCCCCGTTGCTCCTCCGCCGCCCTTATCCCCGCTCCGCTGCCAACGATATTCCCCATGCTGTCCCGCTCCGCTGCCAAATGCGGCGGAGAAGGGCTTGGGGACTTCACCAAACTCCCGCCCCCCCGCGCTTGCCCCCCTCTCCCCCCTCCCCCTATCCCGGGAATTGCCGCCGCCCCAGCTCGTTCCGCGTTGTGAGGATCATGCAGGGGCGAGGGCGGGTAGAAGCGGTGAGGGGATGCGTCGAGCCGGCAATGCGCGGGAAAAAGCGCCTGGAGACGCTCGCGAAGCTTCGTAGGAATGAACCCGCTCGTGGCTAGCGGCTCGAGACTTGGAACGACTCCCTTGCCGACCAAAATATCGATCGAGGCGGATATTCCGCGGAGGACGAGGTCCCTATGCGCCGCGTCATAGTGGTCTAGGAGGAGGAAGAGAAATTCTAGGAGGGAGTTGGTCATAATGGCGTATTTGGGAAGGGAATGGACCATGCACAGTATCGCGGGTTCGATGTTCATGATGTTGTCAGTCTTTGGCATGAAAAAGAGCCAATCGTAGAAGAGCGCCAGCTTGGCATTCGCCTCCATGTGGCAGCTTCTGCAGCATTTGAGAAGCCAGCCGACGATCGCCCAGCGTGGCACCACGTCAGATTGCAGGACCTGATTCGTCGGATGCACCGAGCAGCAGACGAAGCGAACCAAATCCGCCACGAGGGATTCGCTCTCGGGGGCGGCGAGAAACCGGGTGGCAAACCACGTCTGGTAACGCCGCTGGTGGCCCATGCGAACGTGTGCGAGAAGAAAGCGAAGCTGCGACTCCATTTCGGGCGTCACTCGGGACGTGATGAAACGCGTGGGCGTTCGCAAGACGTACAGCTGAGCTAAATCGGAAAACCCAGGCGCGCCCATCGACTCGGGACTATGCACCAAATCCCGCCAAATCGGCTCGAATTCCGGAATCAACGCTACATCCTGCAGCAGTCGCACTAAGTCGCGACCAATCACTAAGCAGTCCTGAAATCGCTCTCTAAGCGTCTGTGTGCAAAACGCGATCTCCTGCTGCTTCAGCTCTACGACGGTCGGAGCCTTACTAGCCGCGTGGTCTGGGAGAAGCCTAAGGAACGTGTAAAGCGAGAGGGCGAGGAGATTCGGGAGAGTGTACAGCCACTGCGTGTTGGCGCGAAGGACGTCGAGTAACTGCCGAGCTAGCCACACGTTCCCGACGCTAAGATCGCCGCCGGAAACCTGACGGAAGAGGCAGAGAAAAAGCGCCTCTGCTTCCTGAACGGCTAGATGAACTAACTGTCGGAGGACCCAGATAATCTGCGCGCGCACGTGCTCCTGGAGCTTGCCCCACTTCTCCGTCGTTAATCGCTGCAGGGTCACTAGAAGCGACGCGTGGTGGTCGCGCGTCACGGAGCACAGGATCCCGAACAGCCGCACCGCCGCGGCCGTCGACGCGTGCGACGGCGGCGAAGGCGGCGAACCTGGTTGGTGCGACACGGTGAGGATTGCGTAGAGGAGGCCGTTGACCACGTCAGCGTGCTGCTGCGCGCCTTCCGAGACCATTTCCTGCAGCTGACTGTGCACTTCGCCTTCGCTATCCGACGCAAGGAGCGGCTTGATACGCGCGTGGAGCGATTGCAGGGCCAGGTCCAGGTCATCTGTCGCTTCGAAGGGCACGTGGCTCAGCAGCCGCGAATCGGCGCGCGGCACGTGGACGTGCGCGTGCGCGTGCGCATGGGAATCTCCGCGGGATCCGCCTACCGAGCCGCGAGGCTCAACAGCGACAGCTGCTCCGATCGGCATGACTGTGCTGCAGGAATTAGGGTTTCGGTGTCAAAATTAGGTATGTCAGCAGAGCGCTGCGCTCATCCTTGCTTCCATCCGAGTTTCAAATATTCACACGTGCGTGCTCTTGGTCGTCGCGCAAACCCTAATCTGGAGCCGGAGCGCGAGTGTTGGTGCTGGTCAAGCAAGGGCGCTTGAACATTGCTGGGAATTGTTCCAGCGGCGAAGTCTGGAAGGGGGGCTGGGCTAAGAGAAATTGAGTTGAAGGGAGGGGAGAGCCCTTGAGGAGAGGAGAGTCGCTGGGCCCAAGCCATGCGGAAGGAGGCTGATTCTGAAAGTGGGAAATGGGAAGCTGGTGATTGAATGAGGGAAAACCGGCCGGTATTTATAGTGGGATTCAGCTGGTTGGGATGGTTGAGAAGCGGTCCCAGTCAAGCCTGCGTCCCAAGCACGGGATTTCCAGGCCAAATGAAAAAGAGCCTCGGAAAAAGACCCTCTTTAGATGGAGAAGAATCTCGATCAATAACCATTCGCTCGTTGTGTAAAAACCAGGCTTGAGCTCAAACTCTCTATTATTTCCCCAACTGATGTTTGATATTTGTCCCTTGTAGAAACGCGCTCTTTTTGACAGATTCGTCAGCATTTTCGCTTGTGAAATGCGCGGATGGATGGCATGCCAGGTCGGCTCGGGGGTCCCAAGTTGGCCTTCATCCATTCAGCTTCATTCCCGCCGACAGGGTCCAAGTCCAACCAATCTGCTTCCGCCAAGGGCGATCGCGCTTGTCAATCCTTGGGATGTGGGTATTGCCGCGATTTCGTATGGGTCAAGAAAAAGATATCCCAACAGAAAAGGCGTGTTTACGCTAACGAAGCATCGTATAGCGGCGCGGTTCATCGGCTAACCTCACAAGTTTCAGCACAACTTCCCTCGAAAAAATGGCAACCTTCCCCTCCCCATTCTTCTGCTTGGCAGAATGGCCCACATCATGGATATTTTCGCTGCAAAGTTCACGCGGAAACCCAAACATGATGGAACAAGGAAAAAAAAGGGGGTAAAACACAAAAGTCAAAATATTTGCCCGAATGAGAGATGTCCGCGCGTTGCACTGCGGGGTTCCCCCCCCACCCCACCCCCCTCCCCCCCCCCACCCATCGCTCGTGCGCCGGAGAACCCCACGGCTGGCGCAGCGGAGATCCCGAGGCACCACTTATAGGTTTCAAGTTCCTACTTTCAGCAGCCCAACCAACCACGCACGGGGATTTCCTTCCCCCGGGATTTCAACTCCAGTTCAGGGATTTTCCTCCAATTTCCGACTTTCTGGTGCAGCACCACTTCCTGTAAAGTAAGGCGATTCTATGAAAGTCAATCTTCAACATCTCGACTATACCCCGCAAATCACGGCGCTCCGAGGAAAGGCTAGGTTCCGCGTTGGAACACCAAGCTATCGAGCTTAGAGACAGCTGCTTTTGCACGTGCGCACTGTGAATGAGCAGTTTCTGACATTTGCACCTTTCACTCGAGCATTATTATGACTCAATATCTCCTAAATGCTTAGCTCTGTTTTTTCAACTGATGTATGGCAAGGCGAGGCTAGTTAAGAAGGGTAGTGTATCAGTTATTTCAGGAAATCTGAGCATTGCGGCAGTTGTCAGCAAACAGACAAAACCGTTTGTTTTAATTCATTTTAGGTCATTTTCGAGTAACTAGGGCGTTCAGCAAATAGCGCAGAGCGAGTGAACAGATAGTTCAAGCGGGCGCTTCGTTCGGCGGTGCTTCGTTCGCTTACATTCAGAGGACAGTCTTGGTTGAAGGGGACATCATAATGTCACTCGACGGTGACGTAAGTGCAATAATTGCGACGAATGTGTCATTTCATGCTTCGCTGCTCACATGTTGAAGGACATACCTTTTCGGCACATGTCACGTGCTTTTCCGTCCTCCAGTGCACGTTCATTTGTCAAAATCGTTTTGCACATGACGTCAGTGTCAAGACGTCAATATGGTGTGCGTGACGTCAGCATCGTGTACGTGACGTCAGTGTCAAGACGCTATCGCTTCTGCAATCCTTCTCTTTCATCTGCGTCTCTTCTCGTCCATCTGCGTCTCTTCTCGTCCATCTGCGTCTCTTCAGCCCAAGTACCGAGCAGGGTCAGCAGCGGCTGCAGGGGAGACCTCGGATTGGGAGGACAAGTACGCGGCCGAGCCTCCACTATTCTCGTTCTTTAGAATGCATACCTCTCTGACGCCCCTCGCAGATCGCTTCTGCCCTCTCGTCCATCAGCTTCTCTTCCCTTCCATGATTTGCTTCTCTCCACTCCAGCCCAAGTACGGAGCAGGGTCCGCAGCGGCTGCAGGGGAGACCTCGGATTGGAAGGAGAAATACGCGGATCCTTACTCCAGCGAGCCTCCTGCGACCAAGTACCCTGATATCTACTCCAACGAGCCCCCTGCTGACGACCAAGGTACCATCGCTCAGCCCCCTGGAGATTCCCATTCACAGGAAGGGATAGCCTGGCGCCTCAGATTCCACTGAGACTGGAAGACATTCCCAAGATAATTTCAATACTTCTCCTCTCCTTCCGTCCCTCGTTATGGCTTCCATTGTCAGTGTCCAATTTGACGAATTTCGATATTTCAATCCTACTGCTGTGTGTGCACACTTACCATCTGCCTATCACGCTCTGTCTCCCACTCTTTCGACCTCTCTGTCTCCCTCTCTGTCTCCCTCTCTGTCTCCCTCTCTGTCTCCCTCTCTGTCTCCCTCTCTGTCTCCCTCTCTGTCGCCCTCTCTGTCTCAGATGCTCTGGGTGCGAGCGCCATATCGCTAGAGGGCACGGTGCAAGTGGTGAAGGAGAATATGTGGTACATAGGCGATGGTGAGGCACCCCTTTTCTCGATGTGGCACCCTCTTTCTCGTACATAGGCGATGGTGAGAAAGATGGTGAGAATATGTGGCACCATAGGCGAGAAAGAGGCTGCCTCACCATAGGCGATGGTGAGGCACCCTCTTTCTCGTTCTCCTCTCTGCTCTGCCCTGCTCTGCTCTGCTCTTGTCGTTCCTTCAACCTGCACCGTGCAAGTGGTGGAGGAGAATATGTGGTACATAGGCAGAGGCGGGGCTTTCGCTTGTGCTGTCCCTCCTCTCTTTGCATGGGGTACATAAGCGATGGTGAGAGCATGGGGTGCATAGGCGATGGTGGGGCTGTCGCTTATGCTGTCCCTCCTATCTGAACATGTGGTACACAGGCGGTGGTGGGACACTCCCTTTCTTTGTTTCCCTGTCGGATTTTCGTTCCACTCTCTTCTCAACTTCTCCTTTTCCGGCGAGACTCTCGTTATGCCCCCGTTTTCTCCACCTAATTCATTGCCAAACTGCCACTCTTCCCTCCCCCTCTCGTGCTCCTTTCCTTCCCCCACCCTGCATCCCCCCCCCCCTGCATCTCCTCCCCCTGCATCTCCTCCCCCTGCATCTCCCCCCCTTGGCATCTCCTCTCCTCCCCTCCTTCTCCTCCTCCTCCACCTCTTTTCCCATCTCTGCGTGCGCATCTCAGCTGCCTTGAAGAGCGTGGCTGAGGTTCTGTACGGGTTCGGAATCAGCCCAACGATACTCGGATACACGTAAGCCGTTGCTCCAGGCTTTGCAAACATGCTCCAGGCTTCGCAAACATGTTCCAGGCTATAGCGAACACTTTTCCTGTATAGCTCTTAGGGCACGTTCTGTTCCACCCCTCTTCTCTCTGTCCCTCCCTGCACTAGTTTCCCTGGTCCTCCCACCAATTACCCCTCGGTCTCCTCCATTCACCCCCCTCACCCCCCTCATCCCCCTCATCCCCCTCATCCCCCTCATCCCCCTCATCCCCCTCATCCCCCTCATCCCCCTCATCCCCCTCATCCCCCTCATCCCCCTCATCCCCCTCCCTCATCCCCCTCATCCCCCTCATCCCCCTCATCCCCCTCATCCCCCTCATCCCCCTCATCCCCCTCATCCCCCTCATCCCCCTCATCCCCCTCATCCCCCTCATCCCCCTCATCCCCCTCATCCCCCTCATCCCCCTCATCCCCCTCATCCCCCTCATCCCCCTTATCTCCCTCATCCCCCTCACCCCCCTCATCCCCCTCATCCCCCTCATCCCCCTCATCCCCCTCATCCCCCTCATCCCCCTCATCCCCCTCATCCCCCTCATCCCCCTCTCCCTCTATCTCCCTTGCACCCTTTCCCCTACTTGATGTCCCCCTCCCCACCCCGTCCCCCCTCCCCACCCCGTTCCCCCTCCCCACCCCGTTCCCCCTCCCCTGCTGGGGGACGAGGACGAGAAGGAATACAACATGGCACAGCCGGCAATACCGCAGGACGAGGTGGTTGCTGGCCACGCCACCATTCCCTCTCTTCCCCACTCTCTCCCGTTTCCTCCGCATGCCCCGCTGGAGAGGAGGAGCTGTTAGAGGAGGAGGAGGATGAAGAGGGCGAGGAGGAGGACTACGACATGGCACAGCTGGCAATACAGCACGATGAGGTGGTGGCCAAGACGTTGTTCTCCGTGTCCCCCCACTCTCCCCGTTTCCTCCATATGCCCCGCTAGAGAGGAGGAGCTGTTAGAGGAGGAGGAGGCTGAAGAGGACTATGACATGGTTGGCACCCGCGGCAGTGCAGCGGGACGAGGTGGTTGCTGGCCAAGACACCGATCCCCCTCTCCTCTCTTTCCGCCACTTGGTATTCCCCCTCCCCCCCCCCTCTCCCCTTGACATGGCACCTGCGGCAGTGCAGCAGGACGAGGTGGTTGGTGGCCAAGACATTGCCTCCCCCTCCCCCCGTTTTCTCCCTCGCCCCTTTTTCACGACCTTGTGTTATCCCTGTTTTGGAGGAGGAGGATGACGAGGAGGAGGAGTACGACATGGCACAGCCGGCAATGCAGAGGGACGTGGTGGTTGGTGGCCAAGACATCGTTTTCATTTCCCCCGCCCCGTATCTCCCCCGATCCCTTTCCGCCACTACTGCCAATCACCCTTAAGCAGGGAAGAAGAACTGTTAGAGGAGGATGACGAGGAGGACTATGACATGGCACCTGCGGCAATACAGCGGGATGAAGTGGTGGCTAAGACGTCGTTCTCGATGCGAAGTGAGGAGAATATGCAGCGGAGGAAAGCAGAGGAGCCGGCAGCGCCTGTGGATGAGGCTGAGGAGATCTACATGGACCAGGGGAACGGTGAGTGACTGGGGTGGGGTGGAGTGTGGCTGGATTGTGGCTGGGCTGTGGCTGGGGAGTGGTCGGATTGGGGGTGGTGGCCAAGACGTCGTTCTCGATGCGGAATGAGGAGAACATGCAGAGGAGGAAAGCAGAGGAGCCGGCAGCACCTGTGGATGAGGCAGAGGAGATTTACATGGACCAACAACATGGTGAGTGGCTGGGGTGTGGTTGGCTTGTGGCTGGGGTGTGGCTGGCTTGTGTTGTGGTTGGGAATGGCAAGGATGACGGCACAGTGAAGGTTGGGGGTCAATGGGGTGGGGGATTAAGACAATACTCATGTCTCGGATTGAGGGGGTTGAGTTTTTTTTAGAGAGCTTGGGGTTTTGTAAGCGAGGGGAGGAACCCAGTGTGGGCAGGGGACAGTGACATGGAGGGTGTATAAGGAACCAAAGCATGTGCCCCTAGTGATTTTATATGCACCCTAGGTTGTAATGCATCGGTGTAATATTTGTTGTGTTTTGCCCCTTGCAGATGGCTGGGTAGGGGTGGAAGGTTCTGTGTGCCTCATGATGCGATCAGCACCTTGGGCTCTAATGCATCTGATTATCCTCGTTATTGTGCTTTGCCACTTGCAGATGGCTGGGGAGGGGTGGAAGATTATGCTGAGTTTGGGGAGGACAAGAAGGATAAGTAATAAATTATGGGCATGACTTTGTGAAATGTATTTTGGCCAATTCTTACCTTCCCTTGCAAGCTTCAAGTGGGTGTAATGTAATGTCCGTGCTCAGGATCTTGGTTGGCGTTTGCTGTACATGACAATGCATTATGCCTTAGTGCGATGCAATTTTCTTACTGTATGTTGAGGTATACTCGACAGAGTTTACTTATACATTCCTGATGTAACAGTTAGACTGTACTAGTAGCGCTATACCTCATATGGAAGGCGTCCGTGATGACGTCAGCAGTAGCGAGTCAACGTGTGAGCAGTAGGTTCGCGCGTTAAGTCACCCGAAAGGTCACACCACTCTCAGTCACACGATCAGCCACTAGTCATGTCACGAGAGTAGCCGCGATACACTACGAACAGGTAAATTCTGAATAGGTACTTACGGTACTTCCTAGACTATAAATATTGTTAACGTAGAAACGAATGATTACTAGAGGTGGAAACCTAGAACAAATACTAGTTGGTTGTACTCACTAGAAGCATACCTCAGTCTAGCCTATAACTTCTACATAGATAATATGTATAAGTTGACACACCCCCTAGGCTAGACAAGGGGTGAAACTAAACAAGAAGCAAACAGCTCAGGGCGGCACTACTAGTCCAACCACTGAGGCAGGGGTCTGGAGACCAGTCAGCAAGAATACAACCAAAACTCAAGCAAGCCAGGGTGGCACTACTAGTCCAGCCACTGGAGGTAAGGCCACAAGGCCAGTCTGACAAGCATATATAATAGAGAGTACACAATCAGGATCCTAACAGGGGAGCAGCTATAGGAACAAGACCAAGCTGTACACAGTGCCGCTGATGATCTTTAGGCGCAAGCGCCTTAGTAAAGATATCAGCTGTGTTGGCACCTGAGGCCAAGTGAACTACGCGGGCCTGGCGGCGCTGCTGTAGCTCGCGCAGGAGGAAGTACCGCAGCTGGATATGCTTCGCTCTGCCCTCAAGCCGAGGCTCCTGACACAGGAGTATCATGGCCCTGTTGTCAGCGTACAGGACCGGGGCAGAGCTAGGCCGCTCACCTAAGTCTGTGAGCAAGAAGGTCAGCCAGCGGAGCTCCTGTGCCGCCATGGCACCAGCGTAGATCTCAGCCTCACAGCTAGACTGAGCCACAGACGACGAGCGAGTGGATCTCCAAGAGATAGCACCCGAACCAAGGCTGAAACAGTAGCCCTGCGACGACCTGAGCGTCTCAGCGTCGTCTGCCCAAGAAGCGTCTGTGTGCCCAGTAAGGACCACTGGCCTGCGTCCTCCTAGCACTAACCCCATGCCTGATGTACTAGCAAGATAACGCAAAACCCTCTTAGCGGCAGACCAGTGCTGAGGTCGGTGTCTGCCTGTAGCCACAAAGCGAGCCAGGATGCTGAGAGGGTATGCGAGATCTGGGCGAGTGCAAGTCATCAGGTACATGAGGCAACCCACCAGCTCTGCGTAGGGGCCACTGGGCTCTACTGGCTCCTCAGGAACGGGAGCAGAGAGCCCATGGTCTACGGGTAGAGGTGTGGGCTGTGCGGAGGAGAACTGAAGACCGAACCTCTGAAGGACCTGACGCACCAAGTGTGACTGGGTCAGAGTGATGGTGCGTGCTGCTCTGTCCCTAGAGATCTGCAGGCCAAGATAGCGACGCAGCTCTCCAAGGTCAGTGCAGGTGTGTCTCTTCAGCAGCTCAGCCTTCACAGAGGCCAGTGCGTCCCTGTCAGGAGTAGCGAAGACCAGGTCGTCTACGTAGACAAGGATGTAGAACGGAGTCTGGCCGGAACGCACAAACAGTGAAGGGTCAGCAGAGGACGGAAAGAACTGCAGGTCTGCTAACGTGGCACGTAGCGTGTCGTGCCACTCGCGGGGAGCCTGACGCAGGCCGTAGACCGGGCGCCTGAGAAGCCACTGGGTCCCAGGAGGGAAGGTACCAGTGAAGCCCTGTGGTCGGCGCAGGTAGACCTGCTCGTGTAGGCTGCCCTGAAGAAAGGCAGTAGAGAAGTCGAGAGAGTGAAGCTCGTAGTCACGCTGTGCTGCTACATGTAGCAGCGCCCGAAGAGTGGTCATCTTCGGGGTCGGGGCGAAGGTCTGGAAGAAGTCAACCCCCTCGCGCTGACTGAAACCTCTGGCCACGTAGCGCGCCTTGAAGACAGGCGGCTCTCCAGGGGGGCGCTTCACCTTGAAGAGCCACCGACCATCGACTACGTTCACCCCAGGCGGGGGAACTGCGTCGACGTAAGTGCCGGTGGATCTCCAAGATGCCATCTCCTGCTCCATGGCAGCTATCCACTGAGAGGCCCAAGGTCCCGAGGTGGCCTCAGCGTAGGTGCGAGGGGTCGGGATGTCGAAGGCGTCTGGGTCACCCTCAGGGACTAACAGCATTGAGCAGAGATGGGGAGCAGCCTCGGAAAGGAAAGCCAGCTCGTACTGCCTGTCCTCTAGGACGTCACTGCCAAGGGCAGGAGCACCCCCGACGGACAGAGGACGGGCAGGGTCAGAGACCAGAGCGGTAGCGTAGTCAAGGCGGCGGGTAGAAGCGAAGTCAGCGACAGCAGCGACAAGCGCGTCAAGGCGCGAGACAGGAACAGCAGGGTCGGTAACAAGAGAGGCAAGGACCCGAGGGACAAGGGGACGAGCAGCACGGAGGTAGTCAGAGAACGGAGGAGGTGCAACAGCAAGGGACGAGGGAGGAGGGGACGGGAGGAGGGGAGGACGAGACGAGTGGGAACGGAGCAACATAGGGTGGGTGGGCAGGACAGGAGAGACGGGACGAGCACGGGAGGGACGGCGAGCCCAAACGTGAGACGGAGGGGTAGGGTCAGGGGACAGCGGAGGAGACACAGGAGGGGAACGAGGAGGAAGACGGGCCGGAGACGAGTCTGGCGGCGGGAACACAGGACCGTAGACAGGGAGGTCAGGAGGCGGTGGGGGAGACACTGGCGCGCGGTCCGGGGAGGGAAGGCCGAGCAGGCGGAGAGCGGAAACCGGCGGCGACGGCTGCTGTGGCGGCGACGACGGCTGGGCCGGAACTCTCGGACCAGCAGAGGCAGAACGACCGTCGGCAGAACACTCAACAGCAGCACCCCCAGAACCAACACCCCAAGAGCGAGAACCCCCTCCAACACCAGCGGCACCCCCAGAAGCCGCAGGACGAACACCCTCCTCCACACCAGCACCCCCAGGGGCCGAGAGCAGCGGCGGCAGTGGCGGCGACAGCGGCGACGGCTGCGGCGGCGACGGCGACGGCGGCGGCAGCGGGGTCGGCGACTGCGACAGTGGGGGCGGAGGCACTGGGGAAGGGGGACGCGGCAAGGACGGACCGGGGGTACCACCAGAGTCAGCAGACTCCTCAACGGGGACAACCGACGGGAGGGGAGTAACGTGGGAGACACCAGACGGGGCAGGACGAGGCGGGAGAGGGGCAGGGGCTACCGGGGGAGAGGGAGCAAGGAAAAGGGGGGGGGCAACTGGGAGACCTCGGTGAGGGAAGCGGCGGTAGAAGGAGACGGACTCGTCAAAGGTGACGTCACGAGAGTGGAGGAAGCGGTGAGACGGCGGGTGGTAGAAAAGCCAGTCAGACGAGTCCAGGGGGAAACCGAGGAAGACACAGGGGACAGTGCGGGCAGTGAGCTTGTCCGTGCCAGAGGCACGAACGTGAGCAAGGCAGCCCCAGACGTGGAACGCAGACGCGTCACCGGGGGACCCGGTCCAAAGGAGGGTCGGCGAAACCTGCGGCCGCTGGGAGCGTGGCCACAGGTTAAGCTGGTGAGCCGCGTAGCGAACAGCGAACGGCCACAGAAAATGGGGGGCATCGGCATGGATCATGGAGGTACGGGCGACCTCCATGACCAAGCCGATGCGGCGCTCAGCAACCCCATTCTGCTGTGGCGAGTCCGGCAACGTGTACGACTGGGTGATGCCCTCCGCACGACAGAACTGTCCAAGCCGACCAGAGGCGAACTCGCCGCCACGGTCGGAGTGGAGACACAACACGGGGAGACCGCGGTGGAGACGCGCAGCTACAACCCACGGGAGAAGAACGTCGGGCACGTCGGCCTTCCGCTCCAGGGGAAACACCGTGGTGTAGCGCGTGTAGTCGTCAACGAGCACAAGGAAGTAGCGCTCACCGCGCGGTCCGGGGACGGGGGCAGGGCCCCAAACGTCCAAGTGCAGGGTCTGAAGGGGGGCAGTAGCAGGACGCAGCGAGGAGGAGTGAGGAGCACGGCGGAGCCGACCCTCGACGCAAGGCGTGCACGGTGGCGCAGTCGAGGGAGGAAGGGCAGGGAGCGACGCGGGGAGACCTAAGACAAGACCGTGCTGGGACATGTGACGCAGACGCGGGAGAGCAGGGTGACCTAAGCGGTGGTGCCAGAGAAGGGAGGGGTGAGTGAGGGACCGACACGAGCAAGCTGCAGCGACCTGGGAGGACGCACCAACCGGGGGGGAAGCGGTGTGTAGGGTAAACAGACCGGACACCGGGTCCCGGGGGAACGTCGCAAGGGGGGAACCTGAGACAGCCTCAGAACAGACAGCGAACCGCTCGTGCCCGGGGAACGTGGTGGTGACGCCGAGGTCCTGGAGACAGCCGACACCAACCAGGTTCCTGGAGAACGAGGGAACGTGGAGGCCAGTAAGGGAGCCCGAGGGAACTGCCGGACAGGGAAGGGACGTAGAACTGCGCGCGACGACCGGACCCGCAGAGGGGTCAGCGAGAGAGACAACAGCAGGTGCAGCAAGCGGCGTGAGCGTGGAACGGTCGCGGAAGAAGCAGGCAGAAGCACCAGAGTCGAGAGTGAAGGACAGCGACGCAGTGGCGGAGGCCGCGGACGGAGCCGGTGCAGCGACTAGACTAGGCAACCTAGGCAGTCCTACGCCTGTCGCAGCAGGGGAAGCTAAGCTACACAAGGGTGAAACACCTAAACTAGAGTACACATGGTAGTAAGATCCATCAACACTAGAAGCGTCAGCATACAAAGCATGCAAAGCAGCACCTATCTGATCCATGTCTAACTCAAAGATCGGCACGCCCTGGCGGAGCAGGCTGTGCCAGTCAGGGAGGTCCGGGGCCGGGCCAAAGCGACGACGAAAAAGATCGTCGAGGCGGCGGAAACAGTGGGCGGTCGGGTGCGGGCGGCGGCACAGAGTGCCGCGGAGAGGCCCGGTCTGAAGCTGGTACTGGCAGGTCACAGCACTGGAGCCGCTAGTAGACGCCAAGCT